GGAGAAAAACCTGCAGCACCACATCATCTGAAGATCTTGATCTAACAATGTCCTTGTTATATGATGAGCTAAGTTATATGCACCGATATAAAAAATTGTAAATACAGGGTTTTTCACGACGAGCGTTCGTTAGGAATATATGGAGAACGTTTCAAAATAAAAACTTGAAAATTTGTGGTAGTGGGTTTTACAAAATGACCTTCTCAACTAAAATATTTTCAACTTCCGGTTTCTTTCCGTTGAACCGGCAGTTAAGGGCAACTTCCTTATTTAAAATAGAACACCCTGTATTTCTTTACATTTTTAAATTTACCAGCACATTTCAGGCTCACTTTGTACAACAATGCCTATACCCAAATTTGTTAGTTTTCGAGATATTATTTTTTTCTGAAAAATTTGACAGTTACAGCCCCACTCCGAAAAAGTCATAACTCATAGACAGTAACAGTTAAAAATGTGAAATTTCACAGAATCATACCTTAAGCATCCAGTCATGAACAGGTTTATCGAAATTCCTAAAATAATTTACAGGGTGATCGAAATTTCTAACTAAAACATAAGTTCGAGAAAACTGATGAAACATACACTATTCTATTATTTTTGGATACTACGAAAAAAAAGATATCAAATTCATGAAGAATGTCCTATACCTAAAATACACCCCTGGCAGGATATATCCGATTTTGGAAAATATTTGAAATGTAAATCATTCGGAGCAATGCCAAACCAAGAAAGCTTTGAAAACAAATGAAGTTATAATAACTATGTCGTTGGTAAAAGGTAACACAATATGAAATGGATGAATTGAAATAAAATACTACCAGAGAGATGAATTATATCTTTGTTTATTGATATCGAATGCAGTAATTTTATTTTGTTTATATTTTTAAAGGTCAGATTTTATTTTAATTTTGGAATTTAACTTAATTTTTTTAAATTCAAATATTGTGGTTCATTTCAACAGATGTTCAAAGACATTGCCGTTTTGTTTTAAACAACAATATATCCTCTTTTGCATACCACTATTTGTAGCTTTCTGTATGGAGTCAAGAATCAAATCACTGAAAGCTCTCAGAACCCTTCGTTTCATGTTTTCTTTATCACTCACAGGATTCGCATGAACATTTTCTTTGATATATCCCCAGATTAAGAAGTCCAGTGGCGTCAGGTCTGGAGAGCGAGGAGGCCCATTGTAGCAAAGCCACAGATCTTCGAACATCCCATTCAACAACCCAGCAACGGTATCAGTACTATGTGCAGGGGCTCTATCCATCAGATACCATAACTTGAAACGGTATTGTTCAGAAACATGTCTTATGGATTCACCAACCACATTCCTAATTATAAGCGAATATCTATCGCTATTCAAATGCTCTTCATAAAGATATAAACATAAAATTCGGTCTTCCTTTATAGCACAAAAAAAATTTAATTTCCATGAATTCTGGAAGTTGCGCTGACGAACGAGCTTTGGATTTTCTGCTGCACAAAATTGACTATTAAGGCGGTTGTACATACCATTCTTGGCAAATTTGGCTTCATCTGTCCGTATCATGTTCTTCATGAACTCAGGGTCCTCCTGTATCTTGATAAGAAACCATTCGCAGAATTTCACTCGTGCAGGTAAGTCGTGAGGTTTCAGATTTTGAACCTGCAGGTGATATTTAAAGGGACGCCGCTTATGTTAGATTAAAATCCGGTTTATTGACGAACATGAAATTCTAAGTGACTTTTCTGCGTCTTTCAAAGACGCAAAGAAGGCCAAAACAACAATTTTGATGTTCTCATTGTTTACGAGTGTTTTTTTTTTTGTTGATGACAGACAAAAAAGATCCGAAATCACGGCAGTTTCTTGAGGTGCATATTCACCAAAAAAGCGAGCACGAGCGAACAAGAGCGAACAAGAGTGAACGAGCATTCTGCATCAATAATCGTCTGGTGAGTACGGGCTAGCGAGCGAGCGAACGTATGCTTGTTCGTGTTCAGAAAAGATCGAGAAGAAGGTGGTGAATCAAAGAAAATACTTGTTCGCGGTCGCTTAGTGTGAAAGGGATTCCTGTTGAGTTGAGAAGCTCTCGCTCCTGATCTGAATTTACAGGAAGGTCAGTTGGAGTCTCAAGCTCGACATCCATCTCCTCTGTAGACTCAGCGTCAGAAAGAATTTTTGAGTTAACTCTGTCCCTAAAAGTCTCACGAGTACCTAGGGAAAAAAGGTCAATCACGGCAGAGCCCCGCATTACCGTGACAAGGCGATGCTACGACGAGAGGTCGCCCAGTATGTCTTAGGTTCCGTAGAGACAGCTGATAGGCTCAGTGTCATTCATCCTCTCGGGACGGATACACATACCGCGGAATTAAGATATCGTTGGGATGCCATTCAGTTAGGGAATAGCAGAACCACAAGTGATCCTGTCATTCCCGTATTCAGCGGGGCAACGTGGAAGCAGGCATCCGATGGCCGGTTTGCTCAACCCCCACATCCCAGACCAATGCACTCGCCAAAAACAGCATGCACAGTGGTTCAGGCAGTGAAAGATGAACAAGGACAGCTAACTCTTAAGTATTTCGATATGTAAGGCGAAGTCCGAATGAATTTTGGTTCTTTTAGCCTTTTCTGAATTCCAAAATGGTTTTTCTTATGAACCGGTTCCAGTAAATAAAATGAATAGAGTGAAATTAGCTGATTTTAAGCAGAATCAATAGTACGGAGGATCATTCACTCTTCAAATGACGGATTTGCCAAGACCAAAGTTGCTGTTAAGACTTTTTCGAACATCCAAACATCTATAAATAGCTATTTCAGTTTATAGCAAAAATGTATATTTCATATTTTATCTCGATCCAAGTGAAATCAGAAATATCAGCTAGAACACTGAGTAAGTTTCTGTCATATTACTCAACTCTTCAGATACCCGAAAGGTCAGTATTATCAGAATGTGAATGTAATATCAGCAAATGAAAGTGATATATATATATGTTGGCAATAACTTCTTGATAACATTGATATAAATAATGAATAGTGGCCCCAATACTGACCCTTGAGTTCACCATATTCAAGACATTTGATTATACGTTGAACCATTATTGATAACCGCCCGGATTTTTGCAGACTTGAAGAAACTATTTCTTCATTTGAAGCAAATACATATGATTATTCTTGAATCGAGAAAACATAATTGTTGAATCAAAAAATTACCTTTTTCTAATTCAAACAAATAGTAATGTCAACCTGAAGAAATAATGTTTTTTCATTCAAAACAACGCAAATTTATATACTTGTTTCAAGAAATAGAGTATTGAATCAAAATATTATGTTTCTTTGAATGAACAAAAGCGTCAAAATCAAGTTGAATAATTCATACTTTCATTTTTGTAATGGCATGCTTGGCTTAAGTATATATTTCCAAAAAAATTATTTTCTCCTTTTACGAAAAACAACTGTTTTGTGGCAAAAAAATATGCTCAATTCAAAAGAGAAATTTACTTGAATTTTCAAACAAATGACTTTTCTCAATTTGAGAACTTTTTTTTGTGTGTACTATTATGCATATGTTTATTCTGCCCTCAATTACTGTATTATTTGTTTTGGCAACTGCAATAGAATCAGTGACTCATTAGTTTTTTCAGAAAAAGATTATTAGAACAATTTGTTTTAAAAAATCACTCGATTCCTGTAAACCACAGTTAATATATTCAAAGTTGAATATATTAACTGTTACTTGCATGTATATTCTTAATTGCGTAATCTACGTTAAATCAAATTGCTCCAAGTTTCAGAACGGAGATGATACATGTCTTCTTTCGGGCTTTACCCTGAGAAAAAACTATAACATTTTAATTCCTAGTCATAAGTTAGCCAAGGTGACTAATGGACCTCATATCATGTCAATAAAACTGTACAACAAGCTCCCAATATCCATTAAAAAAATAACTACTGTAAAGCTCTTTAAACAAAAAGTTCGAAAACTATTATGTGAAAAGGTATTTTATTCGCTTGATGAATTTTTCCAGTCTGATTTGGAATTTTGAATTTAAATTTTTGTACCCCTTTTATGTTATATAATATGTCTTATAATTATGTTGTTTTATGATTGTGACCTCATTGTAATTGTACTGAGTTATGTGACTTTTTCCATGCCTTCCCTAGGTCTACGGAAATGAAGATTTTTTAATTTTGATTTTGACTTCCAAATATTTTGGCATGAGACAGGTTCGGTTTCTTGCCTGTCCAGAGCTCATAAGAAGACGAGTACGATTCAAAATATAAACAGCAACATTAACTGCTTCAGCATAGAGATATTTTGGCACACCAGCTCCATGTAACATAGATCGTGCACTTTCTACTATTGTTCTGTTGTCACGTTCTGCCCTTCCATTCTGCTGAGGGGTATATGGAGCTGTGTTCTACATTTCTATTCCTTGTTGCCTCATGTTACTTCGAAAGTCTCTGTTACAATACTCAGTTCCATTGTCTACACGAAGTATCTCAATGGGGTATCGAAATTCATTTTAAGATAGTCTGTAGAATGTTTTAAAAAAATCAAGAACATCGGATTTATGTTTGATGAAATACATTACTCCGTATCCAGAAAAATCGTCTTTGAAGGATACAAAGTATTTTGATCCTTTTACAGAAGGTGTTTCCATTGATCTACATGAATCACTGTGAATTAATTTACCTGGTTTCATTTTCCTGTCAGATTTCTTCATGAAATGTAGTTTTTGGTGTTTTTCATATACACAACCTTCACAAAAAAATTATCAGTGTATATGTGTGCTAGACGTTCATGCCATACTTTGAGACTATCTTGTTCAACATTAATAACTTGGTTTACAATGGTTCGAAACAGCATCCGATACAAATTGTTGGGACTCTCGAACAGCACACGCAACTAGTTTATTTTCGAGGTATACTTCAGCTCCGTTTTTCTGCACCAGAGGTTCCAATTCTACTTCTGATGCAGGTGCGTTATGGTGCACCCGCATGGGAAACTAACCCTCATCACTTTCTGTCAAAGTAGAAACTTCAACTATCCATGTGTCAAAATTTCCAGTGAAAATGCTAGCCAGAAAATTTCTGCGAACATGACAAATTTGGTGGTGAGACACCACGATGCCTTCAACTACCAGCATCAACAAACCTCCGGATCCCACGGATGCGGCCCAGTCCACGGAAGAAGACCAAAAGGAAAAAAAACTCACCGTGTTAGAGTCCCATGGGTACTATCTCGGGAAAACCATCGGAACGGGATCCTACGCTACTGTAAGAGTTGCACATTCTGAAAGACACCACGGAAACGTAGCCATCAAAATTGTGAGCAAGTTCTCGGCTCCTTCCGATTATCTGAAAAAGTTTTTACCGAGGGAGATTGACGTGGTGAAGGGTCTCAGACATACGAACTTGATTAGGTTCCTGCAAGCTATAGAAACGACACACAGGGTGTACATTGTTATGGAGTACGCGGATAACGGAAGTCTTCTGGATATTATCAGGAAAGACCACTTCATTGATGAGGTTAGAAGTAGGAAGTGGTTTAGAGAATTGGTGAATGCTGTGGAGTATTGCCATGAGAAAGGAGTTGTTCATAGGTATGGACATTTTCTAGAATAATTCAAAAGCGGATTAGTTGCTCCTATCTTTGGAAATTTCTGATCAGTAACGGTTTCAACAGTACAAACATTGGAATATAGGTTAGGTTGAAACAGGAATGTTCTCAATTCGGATTTGAGTTTGGTTATTTTTTACTAACTTTTTATTTTTCTGTAGGATCAAATTTTGATCAACTCGATCCGACTAGTAGTTGTTAGGTATCTTTCAACAGTACAAGAATTATCCTCAAAAATATGCGTATGTGCTTAATGATAATAATAATAATCATAATGACCATGATATCCTTCAATAATCTCAAGGTACACAATTGTTTATAAGGGAAATAAAAATCAATGAGCAATTGAATAAATTATTTGAATGATTATTAATCATCGAAGTGGACAGAATACATTGATGATCATTTCAAAATAACAATAATACAACTATAATGAAGACACCCCTTTATTTTAGTTATTTTTGAAAGCAGATATTTGATTTTTGGTACAGGCGTAGACCTTCATGAGCTGCACTCTTCGCAATATATTGCCCGAGTGACAGCTCTAAACCCAGCCTACTGAGTTCCCGCAAAAAGGCGAATTCTCGATATTTTGCTTCGAGTTGATACCGAAATGAGTAATTTGAAGATGTTGCTTAGAAATTTGACTCTCCATATCAAATTCCAACGCAGAATTTGAATTTCATATTCAAGTCCGATTTTCAAATATATAATGTTTCTAAATAAGAAGCTACGAAAATAATAATTTCTGTATAATGTAGGAATGAAAATGAAAAACCTAATATTCATCATGAATACATTAATTTCGTTGATTATTATGATTATTTTATCATTTCTGGAGCTTCTTATTTGTAAAATATCACAATAAAAAGTTTTATGAATACGTTATATTCGAAACCATCAGTTGAAAATCGGACTTGAATATGAAAATTACATAAAAAATGAAATTTCCAATTTTGGGTTGAGATATATAGGAAAAAATCGATTTCTGAGTAACTTTCCCAAATAACTTATTTCGGTTATCTTCAACGCGAAGCAAAATATACATATACGCGAAAATCTGCGTATATTTTTATAGTATCTGGATCTGTATCAATTGACACAAAACGTCCGATTGAATTCCGTATTGAGAATATATAAAACTCTACCACTGCAAAATTTCGTGGTCCAATTCTGAAAAAAGGAAATTTTCCTATAATTCCTATTTTATTCCTGTTAGAAACAGTTTGTTTAGTACCTAGAACCTAGTACTTAGAACAGAACTTCCCTCAATTGTCTCTCATTATACTACACGTCAGGCCCTCAATCTAAGTCTTTCCATACAACTCTACTCTAGCTGAAAATTTTGTATTGTTTAATGGTCTGTAGATGTATAACTATTTTCCTAACTACCTGAAATGCGTAGTAATCCATCTTGAGTTCATTCGGGTTGAAGCCTGGCTCCCTTCCCCTTTCAACTGGTTGAAATGCGTAGTGAACTGTAGATATATAACAAAAAAAACATAACTGCGTAAACGCGAGCGAGACATAAGTGGAACCACCTATTGGTGTGACACCCAAGTCAACTACATATGTCACACCATAAGTCATAAATTACGATTTTTTATGTCACGGAATGAACTTGATCTATTCATGTCATCGATGGCATGTAATGACATTCATTCGCTTATTTGATTGATTCCCAGCCAAAGGAATATTGCTAAAATTAAAAGGATTGTATTTTTAGGAGTGATTCCACTTATGGAAGAGCCACCGGTAGACAGCTGTTTCAGCCTATTGGGCATCGTCAGTATCGGGCAGGCGGTCCTCGAAATAACTTTTCTCGGTTTTCACATTTCGTCTTCAATCGAGGATCGCCTGCCCGGTATTGATGATGCCCAACAGGCTGAAACAACTGTCTACCGGTGGCTCTTAAATTGAAATCAATATAGGAATGAACAGAAAAGTAGTAATCTATTTATATTTTGATTTTCATGGAATTAATTTCCTGGCAACTTGACTGCATTAATCATATGTTCTTATGAAAGTACTATACTTCAACTTGTTTTTTCTCACTGTGGGATAAAAAGTTCGCTTTTGAACTCCTGAAAATTATGGCATGCTCGCCCTCGATCTTTCCCGGGCGAGAATCCCATACTTTTCTCCCTAGGTGCGTAATATACTATTTTTTATAACCGGAGATTTTTTTTCTGTATTTAGCAACATTTCATTACATTTTTTAAATTGCATGAAAATCACGGACTGTAATTTTTTTTGAGGAATTGTGAGCCCTTTAGGGTGTAACTAGTAACTGCAACTAGCATTATATGTAATTTTTTGAGAGATATTTTTGTAAAAAAAATCACTACTAACACATTCTTTGCGATTGAACACCGAGCAAGCTATCATTTTTCTCTCATTACTACTGACTGTATTGATTCACAGAGACATCAAATGCGAAAACATGCTGATGGACACTGGATGGAATGTCAAACTATCCGATTTCGGCTTTGCTAGAGGAGAACTGATTTCTAAGAACGGTCAAGTCATCCTTAGTGAAACGTACTGTGGTAGCTATGCATACGCCTCCCCGGAAATCCTGAGGGGAATCCCCTACCAACCACAACACGCTGATGTATGGTCCATGGGGGTTGTTCTCTACGCCATGGTATTTGGAAAGTTGCCTTTTGATGACAGTAACTACAGGGAGTTGCTCAAACAGGTGAGGCAAGCTACAAACTACAAAAAAACTTAATTTTTTAGTAGGGTAGTTTGAAAGTAAAAATGTATTGTGGCTCCTCACCCATTCAAACTCTACCAAATGAATCCAGCAGTCACAGAATATGTGCTCCACTGTCAAGATCTGATTTTTTTTGTGAAGGGTTATCTACTTCAAGGTTAGCAGAACCTTGGAACTTTTTTCCCAGTCTAGTAGAGATCTGGTCAATAGTCAGTCTGACACTGTCAGGTAGGTGAATAACACAAATATGTGGCTTAGAAGTAGGTCTTTTGTACCACATTACAGGAAGGAGTCCTCTCATGACTGCAGGGTTCCAACTGTAACTATCAGCCAAAAGATGCTCTCTTTACTCGTTCACGAGAAGTTTCTTACTCTTCTGCAGATTTTGCTCTTGCTGCTTTATAATAAAACTATGGAGAGGCTATGTGAGCGGTATATAAGAGATGAAGTACTTGTTAACAACCAACTTCATCCAAATCAGCATGCATATACTCCGGGAAAGTCTATTGATTCGGCCCTTCACCATGTGGTTGGCAGAATCGAGAGATCATTGGACAACAAAGAATCCACCTTGGTTATATTCATAGATATCGAGGAAGCGTTTGATAATACAACTTTTCCAACAATTACTCAGCAACTACACTTCAGAAATGTACCCCTGGTAGTAGGAGAATGGATACTTCAGATGCTCTCTAGCATCTGGAAGACATCACAGTGAAAGGACTGGTCATGAGGGGATATCCACAGAGAGGGATCTTATCACCCCTTCTCTGGAACATAGTTCTGGATTCCCTGATTAATCATCTCAACAATAATGGATTCTACACAATTGCAGATGTAGATGTAGATGTATTTGTAATTGTAGATGACATAGTACATAGTTATCTTGCAGACCGGCAAATTTGTGAACACGCTGTGCGATACAGCGCAGAATGGGCTCAAATTGATAGAAACATGGTTCAAGGAACACTCACTATCGATCAATCTCAAGAAGACTGAGATGGTCCTTTTCACCAGGAAAAAAGTTTATCGGGCTTAAAACCTCCCAAAATCTTCAAAAGCAAACTAAACTTCTCTGAAAAGGTGGAATACCTTGGTACTATCCTCGCCAGGAAGCTAACATGGAATTCTCACCTACAGAGTAGAGCAAAAAGAGCATATGTGGCTTCTGAGCAATGTCGGAGGACAGTGGGACGCGCATGGGGTCTTTCACCCCGTGTGGTCACCTGGATCTTCACTGCAATAATAAGATCTTAACGTACGGTGCCATTGCAATAAAAGGAGGGTTGGAGACAATATAGATCCCTGGGGAACACCATCGTTGATGGTGAAACTATTCGAAAGGTATCTATCGACAGCCACTTGCAGGAAACGCAAGTGGCTGTTGTGTTGAGCTCCTTTAGGAGTTCTTCCGTTCTTTGCTTTACCGCTTCTATCGACTCAAATCGGATTCCTTTCGGAACAGATTCTATCTTCCTCTATTAGTCAAATACCGCTTCACAGATATCACGTAATGGGCAGGTACGTTGTCCAAGTGCAGAATCCACGAGTTGTTCTTCCACAACTCGGGCAACAATTTGTAGCACTCAGTCGGAGTTTCTTCCAATCTAAAGAGAAATTTGAGATTGATGCGTTGCTCCTGTTCTTCGTCACACATGGTTTTCGCGGTCCCATTTTCGTGCATAAATGGGGAGGATATGATATCAGTTCAGGATTAGTCAATTCATATTTTTTTCCCACAGGTTTCCAACAAAGTAGTGTTTCCCAAAGAAGCAAGAGTATCCACTAGTTGCAAGTCACTAATAAGCCAGATTTTGGCCCCTCTCAAAGTTCGAATCAGAATCAGTGGTATAAGGAGAGATCCATGGTTCCTAACAGATGATGAGGAACCAGGTAAGAAGTAATAACAACAATAATAATCTATCATTCGCAAAAAAGACATTTGCAACACTAAGAATCATTGAATGGCAAGTAAATGAATTTGAATACTAAGGAATTAGTAGAATGTATAAAGTAGGCTAAATTGGACACTGTTTTCAAACTAGATAGATGTGAAAACCACATATTGATATCTAACATCGTTCCTGAATTACAGCATGTTTTTCAAGAATGTGCATTTTCTAAAAGTTGCTGGAACATTAGAGCTTAATATTATCTCTTCAAAAATGTAGCACACTTGATGTTTTGCTAGAGTCATCTTTGAAATACAGAGATTTTACGTTTTTTCATGTAGACTTTGAAACGCACACTTTGACTAAGTAGGCTCCGATAAAACAGAATGCAAATGTTCACTGGTAGTTGTCATATTTTGATTCACAGATATATGTATTCTCCTCTTTTGTGATATGAATGTTGCATACAACAAGAAATCAACAACAAATAATATCAGTGGAAACAAAATCGACGAATAAATTGTTCAAAACGACCTCCACCTAGTTCCATACAATAATACAGTTTACTGCCAAAAGCGTTCCGTACATTATTCCGTCCGGAGGCAGGAATTGACATTTCCGAACAATTCTCTGTAGCAGGTTTTCTAGATTTGTAGGTGTCCCCATAGAAAGAAGTCCATCGGTGTGAGATCAGGTGATATAGCTGGCCACTACACTGGACCCCTTCTGTCGATTCAACGCATTAGAAAACCTGAACATCAAAATGTGGAGTTGCACCATCCTGCTGGATCATAGGATTTACATAGTCTTGTGATAGATTTAAGTATGTGTTTCCATTGAGATTACCCAGACATTCAATTTTTGTGGAGTTTATGAGTGTGTTTCCATCACCAAATGAGGATTCACATCGCTCCAGTAACGACAATTATGTACATTCACTTCACCATTCAACATGAAAGAAGTTTCGTCTGAAAAACATGTATTGTATAATAGGGTTGGGTTATTGGTTAATTTCTCGCTCACAAAACTGAAGTCGACGATCAGGATCATCTTCGTTTAATTCCTGAACTAGCCTCATTTTGAAAGGACGGAATTTGCAGGCTTCCAAAATCCGAAAAACACTATAGCAGGGGAGCCCATGATGCAAAATGTGGATTTACTCGAGCGTCATAGAGACATATTAGGTTGCAAAGCTTAGATGATGAGAAGAAAAATATGTTATATAATATATACCTTTTCATCGGTGGGGGAAGCGGCTATAATTGTTTGAATATGTAAAAAATACTGTTGCATGGACTTACTCGAGTGCGTCAGAAATTGATAGCATCAATGTCCAACGTATTTTGAATAATGTTGGTATGTTAATCTGATCATTTGCATGATGTGGGTGGTTGTACGTAAGGCTTAAAAGTTTGAAAAAAATGTTATTGAGCGCGTCAGATTTTCTAAGGGGGTGTTAAGTGCAACAAAAAAAAGCCCTCATTCAATAATCTGACGATTTCAATCTGACGCAAACTCGCGGTCATTATTATAATGTGCAAAAAAAATTCGCCATTTTGAAATACTCAAGTGTGTTAGATTAAGATATATATGGTTCATCTTTATGTTTTAGAAGTGCTGTCTCATAATCTGACGATTATCCAGAGGGATTCGCTCAATCTGACAAGACAATTTTTTTAAATTTTTTTCAATTCATTGAACCCAATCAATTCAAAATCTCAGGAAATAGCATGAAAATTAATAAGTGTACGTTTTTTAAGTAGAATACCTACTTGTATTTATAAGAAAATAATTTAAAAAAAATGCTCAATCAATAATCAGTTGATTGATTAATGAAGAAAAAAGAAATGAAACTTTCTATGTTTTTTACCATTTTTATTTGTAATTTTTATTTTATACAAAAATTTTCACATATTATAGGGAAATATAGGATTGAAACAAAAAAAAAACAATACATTTTGAGGATAACAGACTTTATTTACAATACACATGAAAAAACATTCAAAAGAAGTCTTTTGTACAAATCCTTTTTGCAAATGTTGACTTTCGTTTATATGTTTCATCGTTTTCCCTCAAAAGGGACCAACAATAATTCCTCATCATTGCTGCATCCCATCTGCCTTGGTAACGTTGCTCCATTGTCAGTATGTCTTGGTGGAACCTTTCCCCTTGTTCGTCACTTTCATTCATTCACTTTCATTCATTCAAATGGGAGTGCAAGAAATGGATTTTGAGAGACATGCGACATCCCATTCTGCAGTTTTAGAGTATTTCTTCTACAAGTGTTTCGTAATTTTCTACTTTCTTGTTCTCTAAAAACTCCGAAACAATTGTTTTGAAAGAACATTACTTAATTTTTTATCAAACCGTTGATCACTTAGTAGTTTTCTAATTTGTGGTCCAACAAATATACCTTCCTTGAGCTTTGCATCACTTAATTTTGGAAAAACGCGTTTAAGATATTTAAACGCATCACCTTCTTTGTCTAACGCTTTTACAAAATTTTTCATTAACCCCAGTTTGAAGTGTAATTGAGGTAACACAACGTTTTTAGGATTAACAAGAGGTATATTCTTCACGTTAGCTTCACCTGGAATATATTTATCTCTCGGAGGCCATTCTTTTTCTTGATAATGGCTATGTGTTGCCCTACTGTTCCAAAGGCAAAGAAAACAGCAAAACTTCGTAAATCCGCCCTGAAGGGCGGACCACCACACCATACCACATATTTGCCACTTATACGTATTATAACTTATTGCATTTAGAATGAGTGACATACTTTCGTGTGTTTCCTTCATTGCAACTGTATGTGCAAGATGAAAAAAAGGTCTTTTGTTACCATTATAGAGCAGAACGGCTTTCAAATTTGTTTTAGACGAATCTATAAAATAAGCGGCATTACAAGTCTCATATACAGTGGAAGCAGATTCGAATACTGGGCAGAGCCGCTGTGTTGCCAGATTATGAACAATTTTCTCAAATTAGGAGAAAAGCAAATTTGGAATGTCGTGTATTGAATTTTCGTGAGAAAAATCATAACTCAAAAATCTTACATGTTAGGAAATTTTCGCATTTAGGGACCAAAAATTAACAAATAACTGCTTTTGGCATTACAGTCGTAAATTGGTTGTAAAATAGTGTTATAGGTATACAATACAATAAAACAATATAAATTTAACTCATCAGGTACACAAGTACATAGTCGAATATTAATATCAACTATCGGAGCATGAAGAAACATCTTGATTACCTCAAAGGTACGATTTCGTTTCATCCTTTTTAATTTCAATTGTGGTGAAATTGGTGACACATGTGAATCGTTGTATTTGTATCACGTGCCAGTATAGGGGTGTCTGTAGTATGCCGTGTAATGTTCGCTGTAAGTAGTCTCACACCGTGATTCGAATGTGCATATAGATTATAACGACAAGTAGCCACATTTGCTGCTATAGGAAATATGATGACAACATTCAATTTATCTCTACATTTTTCCTTTGGAGAGAAATGAGTTACTCAAACACGGGAAAAATTATGGATTGATAGGGACTTTGTGCATTATTATTATTTTCTTATTGGTCCCTTGGGGGCTGTCTGATGTGTTCATATACTCCAAGTCTCCAGAAAACACTGCAGCCTCTTGGGCTTGTTGCGTTTATTCTCCCATCTTCTCATGACACCCATTCCATCAGTCTCGTTCCCTGTACTAGTTTGTACAGGTTCCGTGTTGGATGTTTGTCATATACTTCTGGACGTTATTTCGTACGTCCACATATTGCCTGCCTCATGTGATTC